TTGAAAAGGCAGAATATTTCTCTGGATGTGAAAAGAAGCATGTTTTAAAAGACAGAATAGTTGCCTGTAGCTTCCTGCCCACCCCCACTTTGTCAATAGGCCCATTAAGACTAACCAGGCTAGCCCACTTTACATAATAAAGACTTCCCCACTGTAACTGTAGGGGGAAGGGATATTACTCAACTCTCCACATGGCATCTGAGAACTCATACCTGTATTCAAAACAGCCTAGAGAGTAGCCCCCTGCATGGCACCATGGGAGTCTGACAACCAATCAGAATACATTTCTTACACAGGAACAGAAACAGAGAGGTGGGACTAAACAGGGTATAAAAAGCCTAGCAAGCCCCTTCCTCGGCCCTTCTCTTCTTCTCCACCTACATTGAAGCATGTGATCACCTTTTCTGTTCAGGGCTCAAGCCATGTGGCCCTGTCCAACAATAAACCATCTTTCCAAGCAGCCTCCATGTCTCCAGTGTCTTCTTCCCCACTTGGAGCTGAACCCAGAAGGACATTTCTTTCAACAGGGATGCATGCTGTTTTCTTTTCCTCACAATTGGTAAGCTTGGAGTTGTTGCTAATAGAGTGTGTACTTCAACTCTTCTAAGCAGCATCAGCAGTTCTTAAAGGCAGACCACCATCGATACCTGAAGCCACTTTGGACAGCACAAATGAGATTTGTTGTCAGAGCTGAGTAAGTAGGAGTCAAATGTGTATTGAAGTCAGACTCACTAAGGATGGAACAATCAAAGCTATCACATAATGGCTCAAGACAAGAGGTCTAGCAAATATTGTTCTAATATCATCCTAACCACAAGGGCTATTCAGATGTGGTTCTCAAAGACATTTAAATTAGCAAAGAGTGCTTGGCATTAATCATTCATAATAGCTTCTGGGAGGCACAGCTCATTTAAACATTTTACATTTTTATTACTTATGTATGTGGGGCAGCAATCAAAGTTGTCGTGGTCACATAATGAAGACTAATGAAGCCAAGGGATAGATTGATTTTCATTTGCTGTCAGCTTTGAATAATCCCTCTTTGTTTACATAGGTGTGGAGTGAAGCTGCTGAACATATCAAAGATAAACTCACAATAACTTCATGAACTTTAGCCAAGTACATTGATAATGTAGCTCCGTACCTTTGTGCACATTGCTTTCCAGTTGTGTTGGGATCAACATCAGCCAGCAAGGTGTTGTGCTCACAGTCCATGCAGAGATGGGCTGTTCTACATTTCTAACATCATAAACTGGCTGTCAGAACTGATTGGCAGCCTCAGATCAACCCACATGGAACGTAGATGATCGTTCAATAAAGCCACATGAACCAGGGTCAGGCTCCTTGCATGACAGCAACCACAAATGGCAACAACTGGGACAAAACTTTGCTGCCTGAGACTCTGAGGAGCCGCTGCCAGTTAAGCGTAGAAAACAGTAGGTTAAAGGGAATAACCTAGACAAAGGGAGCCGGTGCTTCTGTAAAACCATGGAAATAACTTTAAAGTGGATTCATTTTAAAGGAAGATCAGATTTAATATGAGCTAGAGCACATTTTGACTTTAACCGTTAATTATGTTGCATTTTATTTCTTAAATCATCTTTATCATACTGCAACAGTGTCTTGATATTCTTTGTTTTCCTGGCGAGCGAGCAAAATATCACTTTGGGGGAAGTGTATGTGTGCTCTTTACTTAAAAGAAAAGAACTCCAGCTCTGTAGACCATAATCACAACTTTGGTCCAATCCAGAGGTGAAATCCAGCAGGTTCTGACAGTTTCTGGATAACCGGTAGCAGGAATTTTGAGTAGTTTGGAGAACCAGCAAATGTCACCTCTGGCTGGCCCCAGAGTGGGGTGGGAATGGAGATTTTGCAGTATCCTTTCCCTGCCACGCCCACCATGCCACACCCACAGAACCAGTAGTAAAAAAAAATTGAATTTCACCACTGGTCCAATCAAGTTAAGCTTATATATGAACAGAACTTTGATCATATACAGTATATAAATCATAATCAAAGTTAACAACTTAACACCAACTTCCACGCCTTCAACTATTTCCCCCACTCTTCTCATTCTTTAATAATGGTAGGCTTTAGACACAGTTTCTTAGGAAGCCTAACGTGAGTTCCTTTTTCATGATCCTCTTTGACATAATTTCAGAATATCTGCAGAGATTGCAAGGACAAGAATGGAGTCCAAAAATCAAACATATTTTCTTATATAGGAACAATACAATTAAAAAAGCCCCAACTCTACATTCTATCATCTGCACCCATGTGAATGCATCACAATAAAGAGGTTTCCATAAGGCAATAATGGGCTAGAAGTAATGTGGCAGCTCCATAGTTAAGCCTCCATGTGCTTTTTTTGTTTCTAAATTGCACTAATCAGCTATTGGGATGGATCTGTAGTTCTGATGGAGCAGAGTAGGGGTTTCCAAACTTGGCAACTTTAATATTTGTGGACTTCAACTCTCAGAATTTCCCAGCCATGAAGTCCATAAGCCTTAAAGTTACCACGTTTGGAGAGCCCTGGAGTGGAATGAAAAGTTGACACCATATCAGAGGTGGGTTCCTACCGGTTCAGACGGTTCGGCCGAGTAGGTAGTAACTCGGCTGGACACGCGCCCGAACTGGTTCTATCCTTGGGGCTGCCANGGTTTTCTTTCCTGATTATCCAATGAAGAAGTGCTGACAGTCTGTTTCTGACCGTTTGAGCAGCCACATGCACATTTGTGGCCCGCTGGAGGTCATTTGTGGGAACCAGTAGGAACCCACCTCTGAGACGTTTTTTCACACATTGTTTGCATTTGACCAGGTTTCTAGCTTGGATCTCCCATTCAGACAGACTTTACCCTTTTTTAATAAAAAAAAAATTTTTAGCTGCTCTTAAGTATTTGGTAATATGGTCTTGAATTGCTTGTACAATGGGGGTGAGGATAATTTCTCTGCCAGAGACTTTACTTGAATCTCAACATGCATTGAAGAGGCATCCGAGGAACGCTTCCTCCACCACCCATGTTCTATTTCTAAGACACTGTCACCGACCTGACGTGCCGGAGTATCACGGTCACCTTCAGGAACTGCGGTGACTTAACCACCCACACAACTCTTGGGTCACGTTAGGATGCACCGATCCTGGATTCAGGAGGGTGATCAAGCCCCCCTCTTCCACTCTTAAACGAGTGCGGCTACAATTCCCACAATTCCCCAATACTTGCCTGCAGGCGTCTTCTTTTCAGCCAGCGTTGTTCAGTGACTTATTTTAATTCTGTTTGAGTTCTTGGATCAGTCAGTTTGTTCACTGAGTACCCATGGGGCCGTCTGCCCCCTTCCAGAGAAACTCTCTGAGGTGCCTGAAGGTTGGCCAAGACAGCCCCAATTGGGCACTGGTCGATCCGTGCCGTCCTCAGCAAAATATCGCTCCAAGTCCCATCTGAAGTGCCATAACTGTTGCAGGAAATTAAGAGACTCAGATATCAGAATCAAAAGAAGTTGCTTTATTGGTACCAATGGTTCAGAGCAAGTTAAGGCAAGACAGCCATTTGACATCTGAACAACAACTTATAGAAAAGACAGTTCTTATATAAAGTTCTTTCAAAAGCAGCAGAACACGAGAATATAACATGCTAGTGCTGAGAGGTTCATTGTTTCAGTTACTACGTATCTTGCTTAATTTTTCCAGTAACTGCTTGTGACTTCTTGAGTCATATGTGTGAACTATAGCTGAACCTGCGGTTTTGGCTTTTGACATTTCCTGTTTTTGTACGCGTCTTAAAAGCAGGTCTTTATATCTTCTTTCTGTCACGTCTTACTTTTATATTTTAATTTACTTTTTATACTGCCTTAAGGGGACACACAGACACCACCTTCAATTAACAGCACTTTTAGATAGGCCTCTTCATTTTTTGTGTGTGTTTTGGGGTGGCTAAAAGGTCTTCTGAAACGTACACTTGTTAACCTAGTTCAGAACGAGCTTTAGTGATAATGCCTTTTCTTCACCTTCAGCATGAGCTTTTGTTCTTTAAGCCTACCGTATTTTTCGGAGTATAAGGCGCACCTTTTTTTCCTCAAAAAAGAGGCTGAAAATCTGGGTGCATCTTATACATTGAATACAGCATTTTTTTGCCTCCTGAAGCCCCGCCCCTTCACCAAAATGGCCGTGCATACCCTTATGGAGGCTTTCAGAGAGCTCCTGGGGGCTGGGGAGGACAGAAACGAGCAAAAAATGGGCCATTTTTTGCCTCCCCCCCCCAGCCCCCAGCAGCACTCTATAAGCCTCCATAAGGCTATGCATGCAATTCTTTTGACAAAAAAACGGGCCGGTTTTCACNAAAAAAGGAAAGTGCTTCAGTATTGGACAAAACCCCGTCTAGTTCGAAACAGCTACAGAGAAGTGCAAAGTGTCAACGATTTATGGGAAAACATTCTATTTTCTTCCTGCCTTTTTCTGTTTATGCAGATTTTAACATGTGGACAGGCTGAAGGCTACCAAAATTTCAGGAAGTCCTTACAAGGGATCACTTAATGACCAGTCAAAGCTGAAATGGGCTTCAAAAAAGATACTTAACATGCATCCTTGAAATTACAACTACTGCTCACATCCTACTCTCAAGTGATTATATTTAGGGTGCTTGGCTTGGCAATGCTCCCATTTATGAGCATTTGCAGTGTCCTGCAGCCATAAGACCACAACTTACAATGTTTCTTGCTGGCAGAAAATGACAAACAATGATCATGGGTTATGCTGGATTTGCTTAATGACTATGTGGTTTGCTTAGCAACCACATGATTTGCTTAATGACTGTGGTGACTTGCTTTACAACCATCATAAAAATGGTCACAAAATCAAGTCCACTTTCATTAGAGATTTGACGGGCTCAGCCTGGTCATCTTCTACAGTTATCATTCTGAGTTCTTAATGCTGAATATTAATTAGTATTCTCCAACATTATGCTTCTAAGCCAATTGCTGAGATGTATGTCTGATTTGTGGTCTCCAGGAATGGTTCTCCTCCTTGGGTCTTCTCATTGCAATAATAACACTGACAAGCATGATGGAAATCGATCCTCCTCAAGAAGTATCTTTAGCCATCCTTGGGAAACTTTCCTTGAATGCTACTGAACTTAAAATTGCTTATACTCCAAATAACACGTTGGCAAAAGAAATAATGGACAAAATAGAAACAATATCTATCCTGAAAGGTATACCTATCTTTTCTTTCAATACCTAGTAACGTTTGTTTCCTGCAGAATAATCAATGAGTTATTTTCAAAACAGATTATTAGCTATGAGCATTTTTCTTAGGATTTAAGCATTGTATAAATTATCTAGGTTTTGAAGCATTGTTTTCCAAGAGTGTTTCTCTATTCCAACTTCACTATGCCAAAAATAAAGCTGAGTGAAGTAGAAAGGGTTCTAAACCCAAATTATACTGTGCTGGGAATATATTTCCGTTTGTAATTGAAACTATGTCTATTCGAAAATATTAATTTGTTTCTTTTAATTACTCTCAAGACTCAAAATTAAAAAGGCAATCAATCAAAGTTTAATGTAATATGAAGCTCACTTGTATGTTTTTTAGCATGTTACATTTTGAACAGGTCCAAACAACAACAGTGGATCCATCAATTGGCTCAAACCATACAGAGAAACAGACAGAAATATTTATTATTGTTTATTTATTAGCATGAATTAGATAACAGATATAAGTATAGACATTATTATGACTATATGAAATGAATATGAATTCAAGGTAATATTAGGACAGGGACAGTAGGCATGCTGGTGCACTTATGCACGACCCTTACAGACTTCTTAGGAATCAGGTGAGGTCAACAGTAGAGGTTAAAGGTTAAGGTCTGGGGGTTTGGGGAAGAAACCATAGTGTAAGGTAGTGCATTCCAGGGATTTACCACTCTCTGCTGAAGTTGTATTTTCTGCAATCAGAAAAGTTTGGAGTGGTTTACCATAAGTTTGCAACTATTGTGAGCTCGTGTGTTGTTGTGGTTGAAGCTGAAATATTCATTGATAGGTAGGACATTGTAGCAGATAATTTTATGTACTACGCTTAGGTCAGATCGAAAATGGTGAAGTTCTAAATTGTCTAATCCCAAAAT